TATATCATTAACATAACCAAGGCACTGTATCCTTTCATCATTTATCGTGTTAATGAGTGAATTCACGCATAAATTGAAAAGCAAGGGGGACAAACAGTCTCCCTGCAGTACGCCCCGTTCTACAGATATCGGTATGGTTATAAAATTCTTCGTCAAGATTGAGATACCATAATCAGTGTAAAGGTTTTCTATCATACCAGTGATTTCGTCAGGAATGTGGTAACTTTTTAAAATAGATTTTATCAGGTTATGGTGCACTTCTCCAAATGCGTTTTTGAGATCGATTAGAGTGACAATGATAGACCGCTGCTTGTTGCGGGCGTGGTTTAATAAATAGTTTAACAGTTCGGTATGTTCAACTGTACCAGACAAGCCTGGCCAGAAACCCTTTTGAATGTTTGTTTCGATATATTTATTATCGCGCACGAATTTGAAAAGTTTGTTCCTTATCGCAGAGGTGAAAACTTTCAACATGACTGGCTCTAAAACAATTGGGCGAAAATTAGCAGGATTGTCAGGTGAATCCTTTTTGTAAATGAGTACCGCAACAGCACGTTTCCAGATAGTCGGAATATATTTTTCGGTCCAGCATTTCGAGAGGAGTCTCCAAAGCTGTGTTCTCAGGATGGGGCACCGTTTAAAAGGAATAATACTTATTTGGTCAATAGGGCAAGGAGAACCACTACTTTTCATTTTCCGAATTATTTTCGTTATTTCTTGGTAAGTTGGACATTCCAGGTCGAAATTGCTCGATGGCACTGGAAATGGTTTAAGCCAAGAGGGAAGGTTGAATGTTCGGTTTTTATGCTTTTCGAAGAAAATATTTCTAAAATAATCATAGCAGGACGATTCGTCAAAATTTGGTTCTTGTGTCTCTGATTCTTCAAACTCTTTTTTACAAAATTTCCAAAAATCTTTACTTAATTCTTCTTCATAATTACGCTGAACATGTGAGCGCAATTTCTTCCGCAACAATCTACTGACATATTTTATTTCTTCCAGTTTGCCGTTTTGGAGTTTAAGGTTTCTGAGGCATTTCTTTAACTTTGATTTTGACATATTTTTATAGTGATTGAAATCGTTCCTAGCTTTAACTTGGCCATAATTGGCACTAAAATACGCCCACATAGTTCCATTCAAATGACAATTTCCATATTCAAATTTCTTAGTTCCCTAGAAGTGTCTATCTGCATACGAAAATATTCGTTTGCCCTGTCCCATTCAGATTTCGACCGTCGGAGTTTAACTCCCACTAACAGCGATGGTTTTTGACTTGGAAAAATAGCACTAGGCATTTCGGACAAAACTTCGCCCGCTACGTTCAAATTAGGGTTGTTCACTTCAACAAATAAGTCCGAAAGGTTGCCGCTACTATTCCCTATATAGCATGATCGACGATGCAAAGTCAACGAGCGATAGCTTAAAAACATACGGCCACAATAGCATCTAAACTTAGCACACTCACCCACCAGCTCACCGTCAGCATTGATATTGACTTGGTGGTCAGTCCTTTCTGTATTCGACGAACGTTCGTTATTACTTTGCCTTTCATTTCCAGCATGAGACGGATGACCAACGCGAGATTTGCATCGCCAAATGTGTCTCCCCAAAGATTTAAAATCTTTGCCACAATATTCACAGATTGTCGCTTTAATAGTCCAGAGTTGCCCCATAATCAACCAGAACAACATAATATTTGCCACGTAGAAGCCTTTCATCTTCATACTGAATTTGTAAAAGCTCAAAACTATCGAAAGTGCAGTTAAACAAGAAAGCTTTTAAAAATATAGCAGGAGCGCCGATTATTATTATTATTATTATTATTATTATTATTATTATTATTATACAAAGTTTAGTTGTTTAGTTATTTAGCGGAATATGTTAGTTTAGTTATTTAGCTATTTAGCGGTAAATATTTTAATTATGTAGCGGTATGTGTTCCAGAGTTTGTTTTTAAAATTTAACTGTACATATCAACAAACATTTAGATACTTTTTTAATTATACCTAAAGAACAGATTATTTAATATAGTCATTGATAACAAAAGCATTATTGTATATTTTGAAATGATGAATAAAGTTGTATTATAATTATAATTATTATTATTATTATTATTATTATTAAAAAAAATAAATTATTATTATTATTATTATTATTAATAATAAAATACAGATATTGCAACATACGTTGAATTACATCTGGTAACACAGTTTTACAAATTATATAAGGACAAATGTAAATTATATTAAATACTATATGGATATATATTTAAAGGGACAGCCGAATAAGTACTTGAGGTGGTAAGGTAATTCTGTAACTTTTCATTTAAGAATGGGAATAGTTCGGAATTCAAAACCTCTCTATAAACCATTTAGCACCACCTTATTAGTCAGTCAAAATGACAAAAAGTGCTTTTCTCTACCGTAGGTTGAACCACCGTTGAAGTACTTTTCACCGCAGAAGTCTTTGATGCTTGGGAAAGGTTCATTGGGTACATCTGTTTATGTTGGTATCATGGAAGATGGTGCTGAAGTGGCTGTAAAGAGGATGTTGAAACAGGAGCCTGACGATATAGCTCAAAACGAGTTAGAAATTCTGAAGCGAATTGATGCAAGCAAGTCACCATTTATTGTAAGCTATCGAACAGTTTTAAAAGACGCTACCTTTCTGTATATAGTTTTAGATCTCTGCGAAGAAACATTGAAGGAGCACGTTTGTACTCAAAGTTTGGAATATCTTCAAAATCATGGTCCAAGAATGATCAACGAAATCTTAAGCGGACTTGAATTTCTTCACAGTCGAAACATTTTGCACAGAGATCTCAAACCAACAAATGTCTTGGTCGATATGGAAGATCACATGAGATTGGCAGACTTCGGAATAAGTCGTATTTTGAATGAAGAAGAGACCACAGTTTTTACAGCTGCGAAGGGAAGCCACGGCTGGATGCCCGCCGAAGTAATTGAAGTAATAAATAAAGAAGAGAAAGGACGTTTTAAAAAGAAATCTGATGTTCAGGTCGCAGGTATGATCCCTTTCTTTATTTCGACCAAAGGTGAACATCCTTTTGGTCCTGTGCTTGAACGAATGACAAACATTTCGAAAGGAAATCCTGTTAACTTGCACATGCTTCACGATCTTCAAGTTCGGAAATTCAGTTCATGGTTGATCAGTTATAACATTGATGATAGACCTTATGTTACTCAGGCGTTGGCGGATCCCTTTATGGTCCATGTGGAAGAGTCCCTTGCGGAAATTTCACGTAAGTTTTACGTAGGTGAATAAATTTTCAATTTTAATTGTTCCGATGTAAAATTAATTTTCACATATGAAGCCTTACCTTCACATCTGAAAGAATAATTATGTGAAACTCAAATTGGATGTCTAAGGATTCTGAATTTGTTATACGAAATGAGCAATTTAACATTTCAACTGTTCCAGTTCAACCAAAAAATTCACATGTGAAACGATATGTGAAACTTGCATCAGGAATATGAAGTGTTTCCCAAATTAATGAAATATTGTAGTAGTGGGATGACCATAGTACGATCTGGAAACATTAACAACTATAGTGTGCAATAGTATTCATTGTTATGTACTATTTGAAACACGGGCAGGAGCTTTATGAGATTTAAAAAACTCATTAATAATTCAGGAGCAAAACACAAAGAAAAATCATAAGCGTGTCGTGGTTTTATATTGATGCACCAATTCGTTAAGCGAATATTCAGAGATCATTAAAAACCAATTAAGACACACACACAGAATGTTGTGGGAGAAGGGTTGCTGGGGAGAAATGCTCCGATTATACTTTAAACTGTGGCCATGGTGTCACCCCACAGACTCACTATTACAGCATTATGATTATGATATAATTATATGTCCTCAGGGGGTCGTGGTTCCCCCATGTTGGACTTTACCCAAGGGGTAGTAGATCCCCGAGATGGGCATCCTGAATGTCCAAGGGGTAGTAGATCCCCGAGATGGGCATCCTGAATGTCCAAGGGGTAGTAGATTCCCGTGATGGTCATTGTTTACTTTAATGTCCAAGGGGTAGTAGATCCCCGTGATGGTCATCGTTTACTTTAATGTCCAAGGGGTAGTAGATCCCCGTGATGGTCATTGTTTACTTTAAAATAAACTGTATAATACATTGATTTGTGTGAGTCTATGGGGTTGAGGGTGACCTTTTGGGAGCACTCCATCCCCACAAATGTGCAGCAAGCGCATTCCCCATAGACGATATGCCCTCCCCCTGAAAGTTGGATCAGAATTTTTTAGTAAAATAGTTCTCAAATATTGGCTAGTGTGGCTGCAACGCTCAATAGTGTTGATGAAGGAGTTTGTATATATCGTTCATAACAGTCAGAAGACCAGCGGCCCAATGTTTTAATAAGCCAGGAAGGTAATTTCGCTGCAGCTGCTGTTGTTGCAGCACCAATTCTGTAACTATGACCCGCAAAGTTTGAGGCATTGAACCCAGCTTGAGCAAGCAGTTTCCGTGTTTCTAGTGTTAGTGCCTGTTTTGTAAGTGGTTTACCCACAGCATTTACAAACAAAGGACCTGATTTTTGTGGTCTTATGGCTAGATATTGTTTCATGGCCAACACTGGACAAAGAGGTGTGTTTGTTCCTCCAATGGTTATTGTGTGCCCTACCCGGAAGGGGTCAGTTTTGGATTCTTTTATTCGTATGAACATAGCAGCAGTTGGTTGGACTTCGTTGGAGAAGACAACGTCTTCTGGCATGAGGTGAGTATCACCATTGAATTTCGAGTTACATGTTAACTCTCCAAGCCTCAGGAAGCCAAAGAACGCTAATGTTATGGCAGCCCAAGACATAATTGAGTCGAAATTTGTTGTGACAGGTAATGCTAACATCATATGGAAAAGTTTTAAGTGGTGGATTGTTATTGGCAGACGCACTCGTACTTTATCTCCTTGTGACCGTTTTATACCGCGGAGAACCAATTGGAGGCGCAACATCTGTTGACAATCTAATGAAAAACCATTTCTTATATGGAAATGACGAACCGCTGCGAGATAGTTTTTAATTAATGAATGTTTGATGCTTTTGGCTAAATAGGCTGCAAATTTCATGAGTGTTTCTTCACTTGCTGGTAAGAGATGTTTTCCTTCTTGGGGCCGATATAAGTTGACAAAAGAGATAAATCGCTTTTCCCCAGCACTGTAAGTCTGTTTGGTCGAGGCAGCCATAGACAAATCAATATAATGTTCAATGTCGGCCTTTAGATTTTCAACAGAAGGACTGGAATTTTTTGAGGGATGGCATCTGCTTGAGGTGCTAGGAGCCGAAACCTTTGAAACTGGAAACGAGAAAGGGAATCGGCAATTTCATTATATTTTCCTGGTATGTACTTTGCCCTAATGTATATATTATATTTTAATGTCAGCAGTGTGAGGTGACGGAGGAGATCCAATGCCCTGGGAATAAGTGATCGCTTGGAATTAACAATGTTAACAACTGATTCATTGTCACAGTTCAGGATTATGCGTTTGTTTTGGAGAGATTCCCCCCATATGTGACATGCAACCACTATGGCAAACAATTCTTGCCAGGCTATGCTAATTTCCGGCTGTCCTAATTGCTGATGGGTTTCCCGTTCCCATTTACCTTGAAACCATTTCCCCCTGAAGAATCCCCCATAGCCCCAAACCCCCGATGCATCAGTGTGGAGCTCGAGGCATTCCGAGTCTTCCCATGCAAGACAAGAAAAAACTAGCACCGTTCCAGTTAACAATGAACTGTTTCCACATCTCAAAATCCTTAAAAAAGCCTGCACTAAGTTTTATGTGGTGGTGGGGCTGTTTTACATTTCTTGTCAGTTCGATCATTCTCTGTAAGTAAGGGCGACCCGGTGGAATAACCTTGCATGCGAAGTTGAGGGAACCTATAAGTGATTGAAGTTCTTTCAAGGTACATGACCGCCTTTTTTGAAATATATCAAAGGCAACACGGAGACGTTCAATTTTGTCACCAGGAAGACGAGCTTCCATTCGAACACTATCCAGGATAATACCCATAAATTCTAATACAGTTGCTGGACCTTGTGTTTTGCCTGGTGCCACTGGGATGTTAAGAGCGTGTGTCTCTAAAAACCGCCCACTGATTTGGGGCTCGAAAAATAAATTCCTTCGAAACATTTACCGTGAACTACATTGACTTTAACAACAAACAAATGCTGTTTGGAATTTTGAAAATATATTTAGTTTCAAAGTTTCAGCGATTTTTTGGTCTCGCACCGTCGCAGGATATTAAATAGGCATGTTAAAATAAACAACTTGACCAAATTAATATGCTACTCGGGGAAAAGCCCGCATGCAGCGCGAATTCTATATGTGGCACATGCTATATTTAGAGTTCGCGTTGCAGCATACTAAACTATTGCTTAGTTCGAAAAGTCTATAAATTATAAAGTTTAGTTCTGGAACCTTTCTGCGAAGTTTATCTTTGAATTATATTGCTGCAAAATTGTGTTCTTTTAATGCTATCGGTTCAACTGTATGCGGAGGGTGTTGGGGTGAATCGGGTATTAGACGCTTAGAAGATTGTCATGAGAACATTCATAACCATGTTTCAAGTTGCCGTTTGTCGAGATCTGGTTTCAGCAAGCGTGAGATTATTTTGAGAAGAGCGGGATTTTTACATGAAATATCAAGGGAAGAAATACGCTCTATGACAGTATGCCCAAACCACCGGTACAATGTGGGCTGATACTAGAGACCTCGTCTAACATGCCAACATCCTTCTCACACTGCGCCTGCACGTCGCTGCAAAGGAAAATATAATCGCATTGTTAATTTGCGTGGAAGTGAGGCTGAGGGGCCAAAGCAAACGCGTATTTGCATACGCTTTGGCCCCTCAGCCTCACTTCCATGCAGTTGTGACGTAATTACCGGAAAGGTAATAGTTTAATACAAAACAAAAGCTTTTGTTGGGTTTTCCTCGGGCGACATTTTTTGCAAGTGTTTTTGTTGGGTTTTCCCCGGGCGACATTGCAAGTGTTTACCGTGATTCAATTTTATGTTTAATATCATCTATTTAAATATCTTGTAAGCTAAACAACGAAATCTAATTTAGTACTATGACATTATCCATTTGTTTTGAGAGAAAGGCAATGAGAAAATGTTATTTGGCAGAACTACAGCGCATTTTTAGCAGTGACACGAACTCAGACGTCCGACTCAGCAGCATTCTGATGTAAGCAAAAGGCCATAAACGGTATCAAATTTCAAACGCTCTCAATTGTTCAAATCGCGTTTGCAGACGAGTTTTATTACGGTTTTTAGTACTTCAAAGTGTCCTTTTTCCAACTATACTAGTCACTGTATGTAATTAGGTCCCACTTTTAAGAAATTCAGCGTAGAAAATAGTAGGATTTGAAAGCCGTATTTTGACATGGCGCACTTTGTCGCTAAATATTGTCACAAATACTCTGTAACTGAAAACCTAAGTTAGTTTAGATGAAATTACGATAGTGTTCCGGTGCTGGGTGTGAATATCAGAAATTTTGAACAAAAGCGTTTGAAATTATGTTTATTTAAATTCAGCCCATTTTTTCGTTTAATTAGCCGGCGAATTTGTCCTGCGACGGTGCGAGACCAAAAAATCGCTAAAACTTTGAAACTAAATATATTTTCAAAATTCCAAACAGCAGTTGTTTGTTGTTAAAGTAAATGTAGTTCACGGTAAAAGTTTCGAATGAATTTATTTTTCGAGCCCCAAGTCAGTGGGCGGTTTTTAGAGACACACGCTTAAATGTAAGCATCGTGGCAGTTAAACTTTGTTGGCAAGTGCGATCCTGTGGGGACACCTGGGTTGGTGGCTCCATAATAAGAAAATCATCCAAAATATGACATACAAATGAAATCAGGCACTTATTTTTTAATATCCACTCAATAGCATCTGAAAGTTGGTTGAAAAGATATGGAGCACTTCGGAGGCCGAAAGGTAAAACTTTGTCATGATAATATTTCCCGTCCCAGTACATGCCGAGAAGCTCGTAGTCGTCTGGATGGACAGGAATGAGTCGAAAGGCAGATTCAATGCCAGTTTTAGCTAAAAAACAGCCGTGGCCGAAATGCTTAATACCTTCGATTGCATTGTCAATTGTGACATACTGGAGACTGAAATCTTCCCTTGAAATTGATGCGTTGATACTGGTTGAACCAGACTTTGGAAAAGAAAGATGAAAAATTGTTCGAAATTTTGCTGAATTCTTTTTGGGTACTAAACCGATTGGTGAAACTTGGAAATTAGGAAATGGTGGAGTCTCGAACGGACCAGCCACACGGCCAAGAGAAATTTCATGTGCCAAATTAGCCGTTACAATATTCGGTTGGGTAAGGGCAGTAGGCAAATTTTTTGAAAATCTGGGGGTCCTCTGCCCTTCAAAACCTATATGGGCCCCCTCTCTTAAATTCGTGCATAATTGTGAAACAAGCGTTGGATCGGGATGTTCTGCTAAAAAATCTTCTAATTTAGATACAAAAATAGGTGTTAGTGGTTTAACTACATTATTACTATGAGCGTTTGACTTGGTTGGACTGGCGATGGCTGCTGGTTGAGTGAACCTTTTCTTTTGTTGTGTGCACTCGGGCTCTTTCATCACCTGAACAGGCACTTCCGGGATGTTCCCCGTAACAGCGGTTACACACATGGCGGTATTTACATTGGCTTCGTCTACACGCTCCAGTCCTATTGAAGTCCCGGCAGAAGCCCCCTTGTTCGGCCCCCGGGGTGGCATATTGTTGGGGTCCATTATTGAAAAGAGGATATTCCTCTTTAAGGTTAGCTGGGTGTACCGTAAAGATCATCAGCCATAGTTGCTGGTCTATTTCAGACCAGGTGAGGGATTGGTTAAGGGCAGCCTTCCGACGAAACTTGATATCATATATACACCAACCCACCCCTTTGTGACACTGAGCAGCATGGCGAATGATACTCATATACTGCAAGAACTCCTGTGCTCGGTTAGGAAATTCGTGCGTAAAATGCTAGTGGTAGACTGAGTGGACGGCTTAACTTTGATGACAGAATTTTCGAGCGTTAACATAACAGGCTGTTCGTCTGCCGTATTAAATAAATTCTTTGGCAAAAGTTTAGATAGTTCGAAAAACTCACCCGACTGGACTTCTTCACATATGATGCCGGTATGTCGTGAAAAGATTGTCCATATGGCAGACGGCTTGTAGCAGGAAGACTCCGTAGAGAGGAATGCGGCACTTCAGGCTCGATTTAGAAAATTGCCGTGGCGTTGTCTAACGAAGTCGAAGGGTTGGCGCTGTGTTGTGGCTCACTCGTGGGAATTGGCAAAGGTGCACTTGCCATGGCTTGTACGGCAGCTCGAGCGGCGTTTGTAGCGATGTCGTTAACCGATTGTTGGACTATCCTCGCGATGATCGATTGGATTTGGGCCAACTGAGCGTCGTTTAAAAGAGAGCTTTTGCTCGGGTTTTCGCGTGGCACAGATGTCGTCTCGAGAGCTGTTTGTTCGACTCGTGTCTCGACTTCCGTGGCGTTACTGTTCGACGAAGACGTTGAAGCATGTTGTTGCAGTCTCGCGACCAACGTATTTCGGCGGCCGTGGTCAGACAAACCTTTGTCTAGGCATTGTTGTCGAAGGTCATTCACCGATGGCTGATTTACATTCCCTGCGCGTTGTTGTGTAGCAGCGTTTTGGCGTCGAACGGGAGGCATATCCTCGGAGAAGTATGGCCAAATTTGCGATATAATTTCAATATTATTTCGATATAATTTCAATATTTTTGCCGCGGAGATCTTACGCTTTTGCTTGCAAGTGACACAATGAGGCTTACTGATCCAAGCAGGAAACTATGCAGATGAAATGGTGAAACCTGATTGGTCTAATTTCCCGCACACATGGGAAGAGATTTTTACAATGGTTTGTTGTTAACTCGCACGTGCATGATCACATGGTTCACAGATTGACCTTTGTACCAGACCTTTGTGCTCCAGGGGACTTTGCACAACTTTACTTTTGTCCGAACGCTTGTTTCATTAACTTAACTTTATAATGCTAAGGGCATGTATAAACTTGCTTTAATACGACCTTTGTCACGGCTGTCAAAACTTAAATCGTGGTTCATGCAGTGTTTGTTTAGTACTAATGTGATGGGATAATTTCATGTTTGAGCTATATAAAACTTTTATTAATCTGTGTGTGGCAGTCATTGGCCGACGATAACTGAAAAAAGTTTGACTCCCTTGCGTTTGAGACATTTGAACTAAATGGATGACCCCATGTGGTCATCAAGTTCTGTGAATAATGAAGGCACATTAGATTACCCTGATATTTTAATTGCAGGAGTTGGGAAGACAGAATGCAACAGCCAAGAACATTGCAGCACTCATGGCAGAGGATTTCCTTGTGGACTGTTTTTGTAGTCGATGCTCCTATATAGTAATAGTTGGCAGCTTAGTTGTATTCAAAGATCTTGTATTCGGAGATGCTTTGTCTTTGAGCAATAAACTTGTGAATACTAATACTGGTCAAATTAAAGCTGCAAAATTTAATTGCTACCTTAGTTGCTTATTAGAGAGTTTAAGTTCGACTTCCAATACCAATACCGATACCGATGTTTTCACTTCCGTTCTCATTTTGGTACAGGGAATTTTAAAGCGTTAAGTTATCACGACAGATAAAGTATATAGAACACATTAATCGTCACCGAAAATGTGCGGTATACTAAACGGCAGCTGAGCTAAAATTCCGACTGAAACATGACTCAGACGTTGCTAATAAACAAATAGTTTACATGTTTATCGTAAAAATTATGAAATATCCGATTTATATGAGTTTATCTTACAATTCCCACGAGTTTCAATACAAGGCCGACTTCGGTAGTGGTGACTTCCAATACACTTGTCCTCATGCTTCTTGCAAGCAGAGAGCATGCGCGTGACATGTTGTTATAGTATCGGTATTGGTATCGGAAGTCGAACTTAAACTCTCTAACGTCTTGACTACGACTGCATATACTAATGAAATGCTGATGCAAATTTACATTTGTTCAGTGATTCCTCAACACTTACTCCCTTCACTATTGCCCCTTTTATCATAATAGATCTCATCTCCCAATGCACCTGTTTGACAATTTTATCACAAATGCTTCCTTGGCCTGGAAGTATTCCATCTTATGAAACAAGACAAAAGGCTATATATGTTAGCTACTAAAGATTCACGAGAACAAGGCTCCTGGGCCAATCAGGGAGTTGAGACATGTGCATTAAAAGGATTTATTTTCTTCATTTTGAACAGCTACAAATCCACAACACTCTGAATCTACAATGTTTCTCCATTATTTAAATGGTAGAAATACAGAATAAAAATGCAGATGGTATTGACAACAACACGAGTTGATAAAAATCTTTAATGTAATATATATAAACTACTACAACGACTACAGGTGCATATTAACTGTTGTACTCTTGATGACTGATGGGCAAAGCTTCATAGCATTTACAATCTTGTGTTGAATTTGTACAGTCTTCAGTACAACTGAAATACAATATACAAAAATTATAGTGACTATTTTCAAACCAACTACTTTGTCCACACTATGTACATTGTACACATTTCATTTCCAATTCAGTGAAACAAATATACAGTACACTACATCAAATAATATCAATGACATGGCTTTCTGTTTATTTGGTTTCATTCTAGAACTTAGCCACACTGCATTAAACCTCCAAACCGAAATACATTAGCCAGAGTTCATTCCATTCACTCCACGCCAGATATATCCGGCGTGAGGTTACAACATTGTTGGTGTATTGCGTGAGATCACTCAAAAAGAAGTGATAAGTGTAACTACAGTAAGTTTGTGCCTGAATTGGTTGTCATACAGTATGTATATTCACTGAGTATAACTTCAAGAATATGATGTTAACAGTGTATAAAATATGCCAGATTAGCCATTTTAACATGGAATTTGGTCCCCAAAGTTAAAATCTCCAATGTATTGGTGTGAACTATCGTATATGTTGGCGTATCTCCGGCGTAGTTTACATGAAATGCACCCTGGCCATTTGATCTATTATTTAAAACAAATTTGCCAGCCCAAGCATAATCTGCATAAAATGTCAATTAGGCCTACAAATACACTGCACACTATCGCGTTATGCCGCTTATTAAACCTACCTATAGTCACTCAAAAACGTAAGTAATTGTTTTAGTACTGTAGTAAGTGACTATTTTATACAGAAAAATCATAATTACTTTGTAATCTGCAGAGTATAGTGCTGTGTTCTGACGTTCGGTCGGCTCTGATCTTTCGACGGTCAAAACCAGTGGGTGAAAATATCAAATTATTTACCTGGGATTTAGTTTCTTTCAACATTCAAATGTTCTTCATTCTTCTATGATGTGTGCTTGTTCTTGAAATGCCAGATTTGACTTGATTTCTTCGCATACTTAGGGAGTATAAGGCGAAATTTCTGCGAAAAATGTCAGTTTTACAATAGAAATCTATAGTCTTTCACTCCTCAAGTGGGGCCATTCAACATGGCGGCCGGTCTCAAAACAAACGTACTTTTGGCTTCATTTTTATTAGGGCCTTCTATCTGCCCCGTACCCAGGCGCTTTAAATAATTATAATACATGAAGTATTCAGGTAGGCAGGCGAAGCGCGAAGGGGCCGTTGGGAAGGATGCGTGCTGGGTGAAGTGCACTCTTCACATCAGTCCCTTCGCCCATCTAGCATCTCTCCCCACTACAATACTTCATGTAAACTCGTCATATGCGCATCACAAATTTTTACAAAGAGACGCTTGGGTACGAGGCAGGCCTTCTATTACGATGCACTATCCAGTCTTAGTATATATCAGTGATAGGGCATCGTAAAAGATAGCGCCAATAAAAATTGAAGCCGGACGTACGTCATGTTTTGTGACAGGCCGCCATGTTGAATGGCCCTAGTTGAGGAGTGAATACTTACTTCGTTACTGTACTTGAGTACTATTTTTGAGAAGTGAGCATGTAACAAAGTAAACTTTTTCTGAAGTACTTTTACTTGGAACGAAGTCATTTTAAGAAGTAACGTTTTACTTCCTTATTTTCATTTTGTGGCGAAGTATTTCGTTACTTTCTAATTTTTGTTTATTTTATTTTACGTGATTTATATCAGATTTATTTTAGTTTCGTGATGGGTAATACGACCTCTACATGCGTCTGGGATCTCTCGTTTGTGACTTACTTTCAACGGGGTCTGGAAAGTAGACCATGCCGTGAAATGTTGTATATATTCGGTGCACGCATATTATGCGTGTGCTGTTTTGTGTCTTTTGTATGTCAATCCATTGGAGAAGTCCCCCTCCCCCTCTACACGCTACAGACAATAGTACTTTTACTTTTACTTTGTACTTCAAGTATTTTTTAAGGATACTTTGTACTTTTTACTTAAGTACGTTTTGCTTCCACTACTTTTTACTCTTACTCAAGTCGTTTTATTGTTTAATTACTTCTACTTTTACTCGAGTACAAATTCAAAGTAATTTAGGCACCACTGACTATATATTTTTATTGTAAAACTGCCTTTTTTCGGAGTTTTCGCCTTATAACTCGCCAAGCATGCGTAGAAATCAAGCCAAATCTGGTATTTCAAGAACAAGCACACATCATAATTTATTGAAAAATGAAGAATATTTGAATGCTGAAGGAAACAAAATCGCATGTAAATGATTTGATATCTTTACCACTGATTTGGACCGTCAAAATATCAGAGCCGACTGAGCGTCAGAACACAGCACCATGCAACAAAACAGTACGAAAACAGTTGTTTACGTTCTTGAGTGACTAGTTAGGTTTAATAAGCGGCATGTGCAGTACTCCTGTATTTGTATTGAATTATGACATTTTATGGTTGAGTGGCAAGTTTGTTAGACCAACTGGCTATATTTCGGTTTGGAGGTTTCATGGGAGGTGGCTGATTATAGTTGGAAACAAAACTAGAAGTTCCTATCGCAAGGAAATTGGTGCCTCACCCCCCCCCCCCCCCCCCCCCCGAGATATGAGGTGGGATGATTTCGATGCATTGAAATTAGTCACGGTGCACGATTCAGCAAAAAACGTCAGAATTTTCTAGAGATAGATCATAGTTAACTGTAAACGAAAGGTTGTTCAAGCGGCAATAATAATCTTCTTGAATTACAGGATCATCTCTA